CTCTCTGCCCCCGCCCCTCTCTCTCAAAATAAATAAATAAACTTTAAAAAATGAGGGGCACCTGGGTGGCTCAGTCGGTTAGGCTTCTGACTTCAGCTCAGGTCATGATCTCGTGGTTCGTGAGTTCGAGCCCCACACTGGGCCCTCTGCTGTCAGTATAGAACCCGCTCCGGATCCTCCGATCCTCTGTCTCCCTCCCTCTCTCTCTCTGCCCCTCCTCTACTTGTTCGTTCTCTCTCTTTCTCTCCCTCTCTCTCTCTCTTTCCTCTCAAGGCCCCCAAGGGGATAGACAGCAGGCTGATTGGCTCAGGCCTGAAGCAATCCCCGCCGCCAAGGGGTTGGGCTTCCGCTGGTTGGCTCCTCCGGCCACGCCCCCGTTGCTAGGCAACCTTTGATGCCTCCTCCACCCCTTTTCTCAGTCTCCACGTCCATCCCCTGCAGGGTGAAAAGAACCATGGCTTTGAGGTCCTGTACCACAGCGTGAAGCAGGGGCCCATCTCCACCAAGGAGCTGGCCGACTTCATCCGGGAGAGGTGAGGATCCCTAGGCTCGGTCCGCACCTGGCCACGCCCCGCAGCCCAGTCAGCCCCGCCTGCCTCGTGGCCCCGCCCTGGCTCCGCCCCACCTCTCCCCGGCCCGTCCCACCGCCTCCACTCCACACCCTGCCCAACCTGCTCGAACGCCCTGGAAACCAGCGGTTCTCAACACTGTCAGCCCTGTGCCCGCTTGTCAACAATTCCCAGGTTTCTGACGCCTCCTCCTGAAGAGACGGTGATATGACCTACTTACAAGGGGAATTCTGAAAACTCAGTCTCATGCCCTGAATATGATAAAACACACGTATGAGGAAATAATCGACATTTCGGCATGGAAATGCTCTGCTCCGACATCTATATCCCAGAAAACATAATACATTGAAATTGCAAGGCAGCCTTCTGCCCCCCGGCCACTCGCTAGCTGAATGCGCGTTGAATCCGGGCAGAGTTCAAAAGATTATAACCAGGTTTTTCTCTTTGTGGCTGTCTAGCGAGACCTGTCTGCGCTGTCTAGGACAGGGGCCACTCTTTATTTAGAGAGCCCTCCCGGACCCATCCACGATTGCCCGTGGTACCCTCTGGGTGCCTCTATCAAAAAATGAGCCCGTGGGTAGTTGGTTTTCACGGGGCATATTGTGGCCCCAAACAAAATCGAGGTTCTGTTAACCTGGACAAAAATGTGAGTGGAGATTAGGTAGGCATTAGCGGTGTCTGTCCAGAGGCAAAAAGGTAATAGAAGTTCGTCTCCCGCAGTTAAACAAGACGAAGCATATAAAGCATTTGTAGTATGTGCTCAAAAATTTTTTTATCTGATGCTTGTTACTGCTGTTACTCCTGCTGTCCTTAGTAAAAGCATATTACTTAACCTCGCCCATGACTTTCCAAAATGCCTCCTCCCAGCAGGGGACTATACCATCCTCCTTGAGAGCTACTGCTCAGATGTCTGAATGAGGAAACTGAGGCCCAAGGGGATGGAGCGTCTCCCAAAGGCGCCCAGAACCTTCTGCATCTTTTCTCCATTCTGTTCAGGGCCACCATCGAGGAGACCTACTCAAAGGCGATGGCAAAACTTTCCAAGCTGGCCAGTAACGGGACCCCCGTGGGGTGAGTGGGCCTTGGCTGAGGCAGGGGTCGCCAAGGATGCAGGGTCCTGGGGTATCAGGGGCCTACTCTTGGGTGGACATCTCTTCACACAAGTGATATGTAGAATAGGGAATCAACCCTCCCCCACGCAAGGGGCTAATTGGACAGGAGAATATAAATCATTCATTCGCTTCCTCCTCATTCATTCATTCAACACATATTTATCTGTTGTGTGCCAGGCACCATTCTAGGTACTGGAGGCCCAGGAGCGATCAAGACAGATAAAACCCCAGTCACCTGCATGCCACGTTCATGTAGGGCGTGCGGCAAGATAGATGTTAACTACAAACATGAACAAAGTCCCTTCCTGGGGTGAACAGCTCTAGGAAGGGGATGAAATGGGGGTGTGAGACAGGTGCTTCCTCTGGGGGCGGCTTGGTTCCGTGAGCTGAGACCTTGATAGCGGCATGGAGCCAGCTACAGGGGTGTCTGGGTCAGAGACCCAGGCGGGCAGCTGAGCCAGTGCAAAGGTCCTGAGGCAACCATGGGTTTTGCATGTTCGAGGAAGAGCAAAGAGGCTGGCTGCAGGGTCTGAGTGAGGGACAGATGAGACGGGAGGTTGGACAAGGGTGGGGGGGCGGTGCACGCCCGATTCACAGGTGATGTGGTCCCATTGGCATCTGCAGGATTTCCTGGGGCTGCTCTGGGGCAAAGGTTCTGGGGGTGAGCCGGGGGGAGGCCAAAGAGGTCTTCTGACAATGTAGCCCTGTGAACCTGATTTGGGCAAGTTGAGCCTTAGCTGCCCTTGAGTATCAGCTGGGGCCTGGAGTCCAGAGTGAGGATGCTGGGGCCTCAGAGCCTGGGTTTCAATTTCCTAAGGAGCCTTGGGTGAATTGTGGAGCCTCCTATGCCTCAGTTTCCCCATCTGTCACAGACCTGCCTCCTAGTTGTGGTGCAGCTGCCTCAGCAGGGCCTGGGGCGCGCGGTGGGTGCTGGCAGTGCTGTTTGAGGGGAGCCCCTGGGGGGTGGGCCCCGCCGGACCCTGGGTGTGTGTGACCTGTTTCCAGGACCTTCGCCCCGCTGTGGGAGGTCTTCCGCGTCTCCTCAGACAAGCTGGCGCTCTGTCACCTAGAGCTGACACGGAAACTGCAGGACCTCATCAAGGACGTGCTCCGCTACGGCGAGGAGCAGCTCAAGATACACAAAAAGGTGTGTGTGTCGGCGCGGGGCGGGTGGTGACAGTGACAGGAAGGACCCCAGAACTTAGGGGGCCTTTGAACCTCCAGCTCCTGGCGTGTGTTCCTCCGCGAATTCAGTCGATTCCACCGCGTCAAACCCGGAGTCCCACAGACCTGACCCCGGTCAAATTTCAGACTCAAAATTCTAGACCAGGGGTCTGCACGCTATGGGACACCGACCAGAAGCAGCCTGGTTTTGCACAGCCTGAGAGCTAAGAATGGATTTCGCGTGCTTTTTTTTTTTTTTTTTTTTTT